GTTGCTTGTGCTCAATTTGTTAGGCAATGAGTTTGACTAATTTTTTTATTTTATTTTAGGTGCATTTGGAAACTGATTAATATAGTTCAAAAATCAAATCATCATTGAAAAAGTATAAAGGATAAAAAAAAAGTAATATTAGGGATTATCAAAAAATGTCATGAAATGATTCATGAAGATTTTTCATCCCTTGATTAATGTGTGATTTTTTCTTTATATGTAATTTAACGATAAAAAATATTTCATGATTATTTTTATAATTTAAAAATAAATAAAATACATTCATTTAAAATATTTTTATAATTTAATATATATATTCATCAAATATAAATATTTATATATATTTTTATATTAATATTGTTTGTAAATTAGAGGTGTTCTAATCCAATAAATCTATAAAGGAAAATTATAACATAATTAGTCCCATGTAGTTATACTTTTATTCAATGAGATCCTTTTTTCATGATTTATATTATTTGTTGAACTATTATACCCTTATGTCTATTGTTGATATGTATTACATAGAAAAATGATATATACATTTCTTTTTTGTTGTTATATCTATTTTGTTAGTTACCATTATTCACGTTTTTCTTTTTGATCAGTTTCATTCACATTTGTAGTATTATTTCATTGTACTAGAGTTTTGAAACTCTCTATTTGGTAGGGTTTAAGAACCTCTAGTTTACAAATGATGGTGAAATAATATTATGTTCCTCCATTGTTGCGGTGAAATTTTGCGTTCCTCCGTTGTCACTTTGGATACATTAAATGGCGAAGAAATCTAATTTCTCACATTTCATTTATCAAGGGAACATAAGTGCATCTTGTGCAAATGGAATGCTTCAATTCATTTCAATATAATTTGAAATCACAAATCTATCTCATAGTATGAGTTCATTACAGATGATGATGATGATGATGATAATAAGAAGTAAAAACAATTTAGTTGTACATTTAATTTCTATATGACATAATAAGACACCCAAAAATAACAATTTTTCATAAAAAGTGAGACCTTTACCTTTCCAGATTTGCAAAGAGCAGCACACTGTGCTTCTGCTTTTGAAGGAGCCAAAGAAAACCCAACAACAACATGCAAGTAAATTTAACTTTACTCAGCTTCTTTCTTTATTTTTTTATTAAAATTTTTGTTTGTGTCTGTGTGTGTGTAGAAAAGGAAGTACCTAATCAGTGCAACCCAAAAATACCATTACAGTACTTAGCCAAAAAATAAAATAAATAAATAAATAAAAATACCATTACAGTAAAAGAGGAAAGTATTTTAATACTTGCTGCACCAACTCATACCAGGACTAAATTATTTTCGGATTGTCACCCCAATTACAGGCACTTCCATGAGCCTTAGAAGTTTTTTATAGTCTTCATTGTGTTTCTTTGTCGCCTGCAAAACCAAGGAGGACATGGCCCTCAACAGCATGTGCACATTAACACATCCTCTTACTTGCAGGAGATTCTCAAGAAAAGGAAAGGAAAAAGAAAAAATTATCCCCCAAAAAGAAAAGGTGAAAAAGAACAGCAACCAACCACCATATTGAAATAGAGGGACAATTGCCTTACTTGCAGGAGATTCTCAGGATAACATTGCATAATGATCCTATTGCTACATCTAGTGCTTTGCCGATGTTTAGAACTTGTTTATACACTATGGAGAGGTGAGAGTATATCTATAACTTGATTATTGAGTGTTAGCTACTCATTAAACATGGTTATACAAAAGCCCTTATGCACCCTGGAACATGGTTCCTGTGAAGGGAATAGAAATTATGATTTCTTGGTGATGCAGGACAGCTTTGAATACTCAAAATATAGCAGCCTTATGAACAGTTTATGATGGAAAGCATGACATTATAAATAAAAGCTTGTAGATTTATTGGTTTAAATGATACAAAGAAATTTGTAGGGTTCAGTTGTGGGTAAAGAAGAACCAAATTAGGCTTGAATTTCAAACTTTCAGATTGCTAAATTTTCTGAGTACTTGTAGTTTAAAGCAATGGCCAAACTTTTGGTTTTGGAGTTAAATTGATGGCCAGAAGGTAGGAAGCAGAGAAGGATGTTTTACAGAGCTACCAGGTCTCAATATGGGAGGATTTTGGGGTTGGATTTTGGGCTGTTCAACCAAAAAATTCTTGGAAATTACCCATGGTATGGTTGCACAAGGCATCAAACAAAGCATCAAAAGCTTCAAATAAATTCTCATTATAGGCAGCCTTAATCCTAATTTTTGTAATTTGTCTGTCTTCAGTTCGGTATCAAAAACCAAAAATCCTATTATCTTCTAACCAATTGTTCGATGACAAAAGAGTTAAATTCTAGGTTTGAAGCTTTATCTCAAGACCATGAAGTAACAAAGAAGGCTTTAACCCCTAATCATCAAATATGACCAGAACACTAGACCAAATAACTATCATACATACACCACCATGGTTGAAGGTTCCCACATAAATGAAGGGCATCTACACATATCCCTGACAAGTTTCTCAAAATAGAAAGGAGAAGCTCAAATTTTGCAGTTGACTATAAAAGTATCCACCAAACAAAAGACAAATGTGCTAATACTCTTCAATGTCCCAATCTTTAAAATGCTCTTGACAATAATGACAAGCTTATTGAGTAATATGATGTTGGGGGCCTTAATAATGAACAAACTGTAGAAGCTGATTAAAAAAAAAAAAAAAACATTGCAAATGGTGGAAGGGAGGGCACTGCAAAAACCCACCTTTATTGTTCGTTTACTGAATTTCTCAATCTATTCCTTATTGCCAGTCTACAATGAAAATGGAAGCACATTGCATGACATTTTTCATGTAAAAATAAAGCGAAAAGCAGGTTATAGCAAAATGAAAATAGAAAGGGGAAAAGGGAAATAATAGAGAAGACAGTCAATGCTATAATGGAATGTTTTACATGGAATATTCATTTTACCACTAAGGTCTTGTTCAAGTCCTCAGTAGCATCTGCTCTTTTTGAGTGTCTATACGAAAGAGTACACCATTTGAAAATCATAGTAATCAAACATTTGTGGTCTTCTACACACGTCCAAAAGAAGTAACCAAAAAAAAAAAAAAAACCATCAGAAATATACCGTTTCGCAAGCTCTTGTTTTTTCAAATGGGGAGGCTTTCCATCAAAAACATATCTGAGACAGGGTTGAGGTAATTTAGCAAATGACAAACTTTACCAAAAGAGAATGAGCAAAATATAGGAGAGGTAAATGAATGAAATTACACTGGCTTCAATCCAGCTTCAAGAAGCCTAATTGTTTGAGCGAACATCCCTTGCAAATGACTACAACACAGAGTCACAATAATGATAGCTTAAATCATACATAAAAACCTTACAAATATGAAATAATCAAACTTTTTATCTATTAGAAGAATTTATAGGAACTCCAATAAGAAACTGATTTGGTTCAAAACTGAGGCTATACCTAGTTACTTCACCAGACTCATTGGTAAGCATTTCAGTCCCATTCCGACCCACAACAATCTACATCATAGACAAGCACCAATTGAACTAAACATACCAGTATGTGCACATAAATGAAAAAAAGGGATAAATTACACCGGTAGTCACTATAACTTAATATATGAAAAATTAAAGCATCAATTGCCTATCTATTGATAATCCAGCAGGCACATCATTGTTTGTACCTAGGAGAAATCCAATTCAAAACAGGTTTCCATTAGGTTTTTTTTTTTCGGTTTCCAATTGGAACATCGAATTTGTATACAGAGCATATTTTATATGTATATAGAGCATATTTCATATGCATGCAGAGCATATACATCAGAGGGAGCATCGAGAGAGAGAGAGACTAACAGCGGTGGTGTTCTCCGAGCAGCGGCGGTGAGGAAAGGAGGTGCTAATGATCGGCAGCAAGGGTAGGAGAAACCAACGGCGGCGATGAGGGCTGTCGGCGGTGGGTTGATGCAATTGTAGCAGCGGCGGTGAGGGAAATAGGTTTGAACCGAGTTTAACGTGTGTGTGTGTGTGTGTGTGTGTGTGTGAAATAGGTTTGAACCGAGAAATTATTGTGTGTGTTTGAGGCGCCAAAATATTTTTATTTCCCCCTAAAATATTTAGTAACTAAATTATTTATTGGTGACAAAATTATTTCTCACTACAATATTTTCTTAGTTTAGTGACATTTGAAAGTGCCACAAAATTATTATTCTAATGACAATTTTTAGTCTTGTGGCATTTTGAACAAATGCCACTTCTATCGATGCCACGGTAGATACGAGTGCCACGATAGATACTTGCAAGTGCCATTACACCATCATAGCTAAAAACTTTCAATGATATTTTAATGTCATGGTAGATATTATTTGTGGCACTATCAAGCGCCATTAAAAAAAGAGTTAGTGACATTTATAAGTGTCATTACACCATCAAGACTAAAACCTTTCAGTGACACTTTAATGTCATGGTAGGCACTATTCGTGACGCTATCAAGTGCCATTAAAGAAGACTTGCTATCTAAAAAATGTCACGATATGGATTTTTAATGACGCTTATTATGCCACAATTGATATTTATAACACCTTCATAAATGCCACTAAATCCAATTCATTTGTGCCATTAAATAGATATAAGTGCCATTAGAACTTATTTTAGTGACACTTTGCAAAGCTACTATCACTACTACAAAATGCCACTTATATATTTTTTTAATTGACACTTTTAAAAGCTACAATTATGCATGCGTAAATACCTATAAAAATTGAATCGATTTTATAAACAATTAAATATTAATTGCCACATCAAATATTAATTTGACATCCATTCATCCTGTAATATTTTTATAATAATAAACAAATATTACCACCATAAGATCATCACATCAAAAATAAAAAAAATTCAAACCACAATCAATTATTTATTATTGAAATATAAATTTATTTATATTGCAAAAAAAATCCCCTGCCAAAATTATAAAATATTCTACCACACTAACAAAGTTAAAGCAAAAACAATTTAAAAGAAAATTATTCTAACCATAAGTTCTGAAAAGCCATAGTGATATCCATATTCCGGCGAGAAAAATTATCAAAAATAAAATCAGTTCCCTAATTCTCAACTTTACTTGTATAAATATTCTCGGCTAGCATCCATAACTTGTGAAATCTGCATCCAAAAAAATAAACATATGAAGGTAATTGAAACTATATTAAGTTAATATAAATTTGTTAATGAAATTAGTATTTACGAAAGAAATATACCACAAATGGAGCAGGCCAAGCAACATGAGCTCCAATAGCTTGTCCAACTGTTTTGACAAGTCCATATGATCGGATCAAGCTCTCATTAGGTTTGATTGGCACTTGAACATATACCTCCCAATAGTTAGGTCCCAGTTCTTCCCCTTCTACTTCTTTAGATGCGTCTGTGCTTTTAAGTACTCCGATTGCAACTGTTTCTGTTGGCCTAATGATACTTTTTAGAACAGCTATATCTCCCACCTGTAAATCAAGATTTAACTACTTAAGTAATTGTATATTTAAAATTAATAAATAATAGTTAAAAAAAACTAGTACAAAGTGCTAGAGTGAAGATGATCACAACTAAAAGTGATATGTATTTCTCTAGTAGATAAGCAAGCCAAATACAGTACAACAAATTATATCAAAGTAACAACTGTAAATCTTTAGACCATATCAAACAATAGCTTAAAAATTCAATAACAACCAAAAGCTCCAATCAACAACAATCAAAACCATGTCCATTATCAATATCAAGATCCCCTAACCTCAACGATGTAAATCAAATGTAATTGTGAAAAATGACAATCAACTAATTACTTTCAAGCAATATTTTGAGAGAATCAGAAAGAGCCCATGCGGTAATAAATGATAGAGAGATGTCTTGTTAAAGCTTCAGAAGAAAATTAAATTAATTTTTTTTTAAAAAAAAAACGCAAACTTCGTCATGTCATGATTTAGACTATGTAGCACATTTTGTCTAGATTTAAATAATGAAATTTAATTTCGCAATATTCATTCCTTGGTTAATTGTAAAATAAGTGTTGCATGCTATTCTAAAATAAAGTTGGAAGTAATGTGATATCTATGATTAGCTCTTAGTAAGTACCTGAGTAAGAGAAGTATCTTGTATCGATGACAAAGACCATGCTTGATGTCGAGCTGCCATGTCGAGAGGAGTAGAAGTTGTTGTGGCCTAACCAAATTTGAACTATTTAATTTTACATACACACACACATAGATATATGTATGCATATATAAGTATAGGAAAACATTAATAACTTATAAATTCTATTAAAAAAATTACCTGATTAGATGTGCTTGTCAAGTTATTCGGAGCATGCTGAACATGGGAAACTTTGGACTTTAGCTCCGAATTTTCAGCTTCCATAACATCCATTGTTGTGTCTTGGTTTGCTTTATGACCAGATGTATCTCTCCATAAATTAGACGGGGAGACACCTAATCCATACATGCGAACTCGTCCATGTTTTTCTTTACCCATCACTTGTCCAAATGCATCATTTGGACCTTTATTCGCTAAATTTGCATTTAAGGTTTTCCTCTCATTCATTTCATCCTATAAGGTTGCAAAAAACATAACTTAATATATACATTTCAATAACTCAACACTATAATGTGGAAATTTTAACTAATCTACAAGTTCAAATGGATATATAATTATTTGGTACATACTATCATTGCTTTCGTTGCCTCAGGGGTTCCAGTCTCCTTTGTATAATATACTTTAAACATGTGAGCACGAGTTGGAGAGTGTCCCAACTTATTTTTCTACAAAAAAATATATTCCAAAATATAAATTATATCATTTTGTCACATTATGTATACCTTATCATATTAAATATATAACATGAAAAGATGAATTAACCTGCTCCTTTCGAACACGTGGAAAACTTTTTGTTCCAGTAGTATGATTATACTTTCGCGCTGCACGACTTGCTTTGTTCTTATCACTTTGTGCCTAAAATTACAAATGCATAAATTAATGGTGTCCAAACTACAGCAAGTAAAATAACATATAATGATCAGATTGAGTATACCTTTACTTCTTCGATGGCCCAAAACTTAATAAGATATTCCCACTGATCAGCATATACTCTACTATCTTTATATTGCTTTTGTTGGTCAAAACTCAAGTGGTTCTTATAATAATTTTTCTTTATGTTTGCCTTCTAGTCTTTTTAACTTCTTACCAGAGCACTTCATAACCCACTTCCTAGCATGACTTGGAAGATCAAACTTTGACTGAAAAGAGAGAGAAAAAGAGCAAGAGAGAGAGAGAAAGAGAGAGAGAGAGAGAGAGAGAGAAGAATACAATGATAAAAAATTAATCTTTCCACATAAAAAATTAAAAATAAACAAAATTATAAATAGTGTTGTTTTAATCACATTACTCATGTTTACTATTTTTCACATGTGATCATCTTTCGCACAATATTGTGTCATTTACCTGTACAAGTGCCGATATGTGATCTTTGTAATGTTCTGGGACTTTATGCCAATTCTTGTAAATGAGTGGTGCATTTTTCCCATCACGCACAATAGTTCCAATGAACGATGATAACTTTGTTGCCAATTTGTCATCAGGTTGGCCAAGTTTGTTCCAATTGACTGTTAGGCGTTCATCATCACGAGTACCCCAAATATTACGCATTTGAGTGGGATCTTTAGTTTTCTTTTGTCCACTAGCACCATCTAGTTATAAAAAATAAATAAATAATAATACTAATAATAAATTATATACGAAGAAATAATAACATTTTTATAAGGTTTGAACTTGCATACCTGCATTATCATTGGGTTGACTAGAATTTGGCTGTATCTCAGATGGAGTTGACTCACTAAGCTCACCAACATTGCCTGAGCGAAACTGAAGATATGGGTCCATAGGCTTTTTGCTTTATAGATGAATCCTAGTATGATTAAAGTAAAATAGACAAATCAAATTGTAAACTTAGAATGATCCAAATAAATTATCTGCAAATGAACAAAATACTTGAAGAAAATTAACAAAAAAAAAAAAAAAATTTGTGAATTCACCTTTATTGCATTGCTATCTTGGTAGTGACTAAACGTAACATATAGTGAATAAATATTTTGTACCCACATATGAAAATCACATAGTTAAATTAAAAACGCATTATTCATTCTTCAAACAATCAATTAAATTAACAAAACCAATGATAAAGAAAGAGAACAAAATGAAACTATAGAATTGTTTTCAAATATAAATAACTAGCAATATTCAATAAGTTTAACAGTCATATAAGATCTAATTCTTCCTCATCTCCATCATCATGAACATCGTTGTCTCTCAACACCTGAGAAAGTGGTGTATCTACAATTGCAGCAGACATGTCTGTTCGAACCAAATCAAAATTATTGTCCCCATCACCACTTTGTGTATTGCATACAACACTCTGCAAGTATGCCCCCACATTGTCCACAGAAGACCCCGCATTCATATCATAAAAATCTCTCGGATTTATCTTGATAGCAACTTGCCAATCTTTGTGTTTCAGATCTTCTACATACATTACCTGTTCTGCTTGAGAAGCCAATACAAAAGGCTCAGCATCTTTCATTAATCGTGCAAAGTTGACTACTGTGCAATCTTTATCTTGTCTTTTCCCTGATTGTGACACCCATTCACCTTTAAATAACACGACCCTCTTCCCAAACAAATAATCTAACTCAATTATATCTGTTAACACGCCATAAAATGTAACATCTCCAGAGACCGGATTTCCATCTCTACCACTTGCAAAGCTTCGTGTTTTTGCCGTGACAATAATCCCACTATTTTGAGTTTTTCTCTTTCACTCGATCTCCTTAGTATGGAACCTAAAACCATTTATCAAGTATCGCGCTTATATTTTGTGAAAATTCTATTTGGACCATGAGCCAAACATCTAAGCTCTTCAGTTATTTGACTATCCCCTGCATTATGCAATTCCTCAACCTGTTTTTAGACAATTGATGACATAACTTTTGTAAGTGTTGAATGAAATTAAAGTTAATATCAAATCAAATTTTAAAGAACTTCAAAACACTGCTTACATGTTTATCAAACCATGTTGGAAATGTTTCACTATGAATGCGATCAATGGCCATTTCACGAAGACGTGGATTTTGTATGGAAACAAGTCTACGGTGTTGTCTGTATGCCATATAAAAGATTTGTGAGGGTGTGGCAAAAGAATGTAAAATAATAATAACAATAATAATAATAATAATGAAATTGATTACAAATGTCGAGTGTCTTACTCAATAAATTTGTTGACTGTCTCACAATTAAATAGCACATATCGATGTGCCTTTTCTTTTGTGCCATCATCCATTGTGTCTATCACGCCCTTACCTAATGGTCGGCCAGGCATTGAGAAAATAGATAATCCTTCGGTATCATTACCTCCCTCATCATAATTTCGAGACATCTGGTTGAACCGTGTCTCAACACCTTCCATATACCTCGAGCAAAATGTCAAGCATTTATTTGCAAGGTATCTTTTTGCCATACTACCCTCCGGTCGACTTCTATTTCGCACATATGACTTTAATCTACTCAAGTACCTATGTTTTGGAAAGTTCAAAAAACAAAATTTTAACTCAAGTTCGATAATAACAAAAGTAAAATATAATAATGATGGTAAAGAAATATGTAATTTAATATAAACTCTACCTCTCAACAGAATACATCCAACGATAATGCACAGGTCCTGCTAATCTAGCCTCAGATGCTAAGTGAACCACCAAATGCACCATAATGTCAAAAAAGTTAGGGGGAAATATTTTTTCAAACTTACAAAGTGTTATCGGAATTTGCCTTTCAAGACGCATAAAGTCTTGTGCCAAACCAACTTTAGAACATAACTCTAGAAAGAAATTACTCAACTCAATCAGAGGTGAAGTTACATGTGAACTCAACATTCCTCGAATTGCTAAAGGGAGTAATTGTCGCATCAAAATATGGCAATCATGACTTTTAAGTCCAAAGATTCTACGTTGCTTTAAGTCGATGCATCGTGAAATATTCGCTACATAACCATCAGGAACTTTAACAGTCTTCAAAAATTTACAAAAAACATCTTTTTCTTGTTTCTTTAATGAGAAACAAGAAGGAGGCAAGATAGTTTTATTTGTTGCATTTTCTTTTGGATGGAGTTCAGGCCTTATACCTTGAAGTTTCAAGTCAAGACGTGCATTTAGATTATCCTTTGTCTTCCCCTCTAAATTCAGTAGTGTTGCAAGCAAGCTCTCACATACATTTTTCTCAATGTGCATCACATCAAGATTGTGATGCACTAGATTATCCTTCCAATATGGTAATTCAAAGAATATGCTTCTTTTCTTCCAATTATATGGTAATTCTGGATTAGTACTCATCTTTCCATAAGTGATATTGAAGCCATGTAACATATCCAATACCATAGAACCAATTAAAGGATTGGGTCCAGTTCTTTTTTCTTTAGTACCATCAAAAGATCGGTCATCATCTCGAAAGGCATGATGTTGGTCCAAGAATCGACGATGACCCATGTAACAATGTTTTCGGCCATGCTTTAACCACTAGAAGCATGTGTCTTTATGGCATGAAGGGCATGCATACTTCCCCTTAGTACTCCACCCTGACAAATAAGCATAAGCAGGGAAGTCGCTAATAGTCCACATTAATGCTGCACGCAATTGGAAATTTTGTTTAATTGATGCATCATATGTCTCTACTCCATCCACCCATAATTCCTTTAATTCATCTATTAAAGGTTGCAAATACACATCAATATTATTTCCAGGTGCACTATGACCAGGGATAATCAATGATAATAGAAAATTGGTCTGCTTCATACACATCGATGGAGGCAAATTATATGGTATAAGAATTACAGGCCAGGTGCTATACGTATTGCTCAATGGTCTGAAAGGGTTCACACCATCACACACCAACCCAAGTCTGACATTTCTACAATCTGCTGCGAAATCAGGATGTAGGTGGTCAAAAGTCATCCAAGCTGGAGAATAGGCAGGATGTCTCATACAACCATCATTGGTGCGACCTTCTTTATGCCACTTCATAGATGATGCTGTTTTGGATGACATGAATAACCTTTGTAGCCTTGGTATCAAAGGAAAGTAATGTAGAACCTTAGAAGGTGTTTTGTAGCTGCCTTTTTTAGAGGATGCCTCGTTGCCTGAATCATTTTGCTCTGTTACATACCTAGATGTATGACAAACATAACATTCAAAATCAGTTTTATGCTCATTCCTATACAACATGCAATCATTGGGACATGCATGAATCTTCCCATAACTAAGTCCTAACTCCATGATGATCTGCTCAACTTCATAAACAGTATTAGGCAGTGTTACACCCTCTGGGAATGCCTCCTTCAATAGCTCTAATAACATGGTGAACGATTTATTACTCCATCCGCCTAAATTCTTGATATGAAATAACTGAAGGATGAATGCGAGCTTTGTAAAATTTCTACATTGTGGATAAAGATCCTTTTGTCCATCATGTATCAACTTGTAGAACTTCTCTATCCTCCAGATCTTCAGGGTCGTCTCCATCGACTCTATCATCGTCATTTGAGATTCCAAATGCCTTGTGTACTAATCCATGTGCATCAATATTCAATTGTGGCCTATTTTGCATGTGCGTATCAGGACTTGTTGTAGTAACAGATGATGCATCACCATGTAAAACCCATTTAGTGTAACCCTTTGTGAAGCCATCACATACTAAGTGATCATATGCAACTGATCGAGTGACAGGAAGTGTAAGTCCACACTTGATGCATGGACATATGATCTTATCCTCATAACTTGCATTAGTAAATGCAAAATCGAGAAACATGTTAACTCCTTTCTGGTATGCATCACTTAATCTTGATCGATACATCCATGTCTTATCCATAAGTAAACAATCTCGATTAAACAAGTGTCCAAAGTGTTTCTAGAACATTCAAACATGCATATATCAATAACAATTATTTGAAAGTTATGATTGACAAAAACAACTAAACTTGATTTTGCAAGAACTATAAGATACTAACAACAATGAATAACATAACATATTCAATAGTCTTGGTAGGGCCTGGGCCATGCCCCTTGTATGTTGTGTAAGCTTTTTGTTTTTAATTTATGACTTACTTACCCAAAAAAAAAATCTACTTCCAGGCAAGGATGTTATATGTTATTCTGTAAGCTAACTGGTGCAGGTTTGGCTAGCCTCTTTTAGGAAGTGTGTTGAGTGATGAGAACCATATAGATAGGGAGTGAGTGATCTACAAAACTTTGTGGGTTGTGTGATGTAAGCCCTCAAATGGTTTTCTTATGGTTGAGCATGCAGGTTGATCTGAATTGTAATAATTTGCTGCTAAAAATGAGTATTAGACTACTATGTAATTGTGAGTGTAACATGCTATTCAATTTTTTTTTTTGGGGGGGCGGGAAGGGAATGTACGTTTGAATTAAATTATTTATGAGAATATTCCAATATTTGTGTCCTAAAAGTATAATAGGTTATTATAGTCTAGTATCTTGAGAGAAAAATAAATAAATAATTTTTTTTTTGTCTTCTTCCACCTTTATTGATATATATATCTTGTGTTTTTTGTCTCATATTATGAATTCATATATTGTTTCCTTACAATTCATATCTCTGAATGCAGCCATACCCACATATAATTTTTTTTTTTGTCTTCTTCCACCTTTATTGATATATATATCTTGTGTTTTTTGTCTCATATTATGAATTCATATATTGTTTCCTTACAATTCATATCTCTGAATGCAGCCATACCCACATATGCACAGTCGCAACAAGGAGTTCCCTTAGGGCATGTTATTTATTCCTTTGTGAGGCCTTAAATCTAATGGTCATTTAATTTTCTTCTTAATGGTATTTGGATCAATTGATTTTATTCTTTTTGGTAACAGTTTAAATAGGCTTTAACCATATTTAATTTGGCACTCAAGAGATTGCTTTTTAAGTTAAACAGAAAGAGTTCTTTTATTTGGATTATTTGTGTTTATCGCTGCATTTGACACAACAATTTGAATATCATTGGTTGCTTTGTCTTCGATTGGATAGATTACGTGGAATAATGATCTACCATAGAGGGGCACTTAAATTTAAATTTCAACTAGGACCATGGTTTAAAATTATTTTTGTTGATGATCTCATACTACAAGTATTATGGTGTAGAGTTGTAGGTTGAAGCCACCGACATTTAGCCTGGTAGTTGGTTTAAGAGTTGTGTTCGTCATGTCGTTGTAGCTGGAAGTAGATATGTAGTCAACTAGAATATATACTAACTATAAATGTATGGGTATTTGCAATATTCATAAAGAAGATATACTATATTTTTTTAAGTTTTGTGAAGCCTGAGTACCAAGATATCTGGTATTTAATTTGGAATACCATGCACTTGTTGTGATGTCAGACAGTAGGCGAAAAAAAGAGACCGAAATATAGTGCTTAAAAAACTAACAAAGTCTATACTTTCAACTCGATTGTATTCTCAATTTTTAAAAGTGTCTTTCAATACCTAAAAGGTCCAATATTTATAGATAAACTAAAACAGAATAAATAAGGAAAGAATTAAATATCAAAATAACCAAAATTACATAATAACTCCTTAAGTTAAGATGTCCTAAAAATAAAGCTTACATAAGCCTAAATAAATCAATTTATACCATGCACTTGTTGTGATGCCGGACAGTAGGCGAAAAAAAGAGACCGAAATATAGTGCTTAAAAAACTAACAAAGTCTATACTTTCAACTTGATTGTATTCTCAATTTTTAAAAGTGTCTTTCAATACCTAAAAGGTCCAGTATTTACAGATAAACTAAAACAGAATAAACAAGGAAAGAATTAAATATCAAAATAACCAAAATTACATAATAACTCCTTAAGTTAAGATGTCCTAAAAATAAAGCTTACATAAGCCTAAATAAATCAATTTTGATTCTTTCAGTCCTACTGCACATAGGTGCAATGAATGGAAGGCCTCAGGTGACCCCTATCAACTTGCGTTCCTTGCACTGTTTTCTTGTTTTTCTATTTTTGTAAATCTATTTATTATTTGAAATTCGTGGGTAAAGAGCCGTGCCTAGACAATCAATGAGCTTGCAAAGTGACCTTTGTGCTTTGTTGGCTTGGTATGAGATTGACCTAAGCTTGCAAACTGCCTTGTTTTCAACTGATCTTAAGCTCAAACAACTGGATTCAGCCTGGTATGTCTGTAGCTGTAGTGTAAATGGTGATTAAACCAAAAGACAACAGCAAGCATCCCAGACCAAAGACAACATTCTATAGAGCTGCAGACCAGAGACAGCAACCAAACAGATCAACAGACCCAGACAGCTGCATACTAGATCAACAGATCAAACTCCAGATCAAACAGATCAACAAAGCATACTCTCCAGCCAGAAAATAGATCAACCATCTAACTTATAGAGCTAGCATACTCTCCTAGACCAAAAGCAGACCCAGACAGCTGTATAGTAGATCAACAGATCAAACTCCAGATCAAACAGATCAACAAATCATACTCTCTAGCCACAAAATAGATCAACCATCTAACTTACAGAGTAAAACAGAACAACCTTTATGTCTGTTGGTTTTTTGCAAAACATATCAACATATCAAAGTTGATAAATGATGCAAAAAAGATCAACAGATCCATAAACATAACATGCAGACTCAATTGCAGCCTCTAAAAGTATGATTTGTTACTTGATTCCTTGCTTATTGCAAACACCACCTACCTCTAGTATCATTACAGCATTCCCAAACCATGCACCACAAAAACAACATTTATACTTCTGCACTAAATAGCAGCAAACAAACCTTCCAGCTTCACCACTACTAACAAACCTTGTGACTGCTAAATATATGTGGAAAGATGTGCACATGCATGTTGTTAGATGATGCTGTTAAAGTTCAAACAGCAAGTTTGCATGTGGGTTTATATCGTGCATTAAGAATTTTTTTGTTCCACTTAATTGCATGGGTTGTGAGAGGTTGCAGCCTTTTCTTTGTTTTTTCCTTTTAATTTCTTGCCACTAAACACGGCTATCATGTGACGAAAGACAAGCAAGGGAACATCTATTGACAAGTTTTGGCTAATGGCATAGAGGAAGCACCCTTGATCATATGACACATCAGAAAAATGCAATGTAAGAGTGACATTGTGTGAGACAATGAGATTCAAGATCCTATAAGGTGCAATGAGAGAATGGTGAGAAAGCGAAACACCGGGAATCCAATTATAAGGAGCACCCAATAGGGTAGAGGCAATGAGATTGAAATCAATTGGGATAGAAGCATAATGCTTATCTTGGGGATAGTCACACACAAGAGGCCGTTCGAGACCAAGAATATTAGCAACAATATCCGCATTAAACTCAAAACTTTTACCCCTCACATACATCCGAAAAGATGATGAATTATAGAATAAATGTTGCAATAAAAATATCAAACCCAAGACCTATTCACTATGTCATCAAAATTCAACACAGCATTACCACCCAAACAATCAAACCAATTCCTAATAGGAAGCTCATAAAATGTGTTGGGTTCAATATTTCGTTCTAGTAACACAGTGCGATCAGTGAACTGTGCATTAAACAGATTTTGATGATCTTTAGAGCGAAAGGAATGTGAATCAAAAGAGCCTTTTTTAACTGATTGCTTGGTTTTCTTTCCAGAAGAAGATGAAGCCATGAAACAAAATTTTCAAAACTACTGAGATGGACGAGACAAAAAATACAAAAGAAAAAAGAAAGGAACTAAGAAATTTACCACCTACAAATGATATGGAAGAGACAAATTACTTGGACCACAAACCTTGAACACAAATCAAAGAGAAAGAGAGAGACAAAGGATGCAAAACCTAGGGTTTAAAACAAAAATCAAATCTGAATTAGACAAAATAGAATTAAAAAAAAATGTGCACATTCGTATGATTCTTCGTATGGTGTCTCTGTGTTTTATGCTTTGAAGGATTCAGGTTGTTGGTTAGAGTTAATTTTATACAAAAGTTTTTTTGGTTTCTTAGTTCGGCTGGATTTCGTCATTGGAAATTGCAAGGACCAAGGTTTTTTTTTGGAGGACCAAATAATGATCTCCTTGGCATATATATTCATCTCCACGTGGAAGTTTAGTTTTACATGGCATTCTCGGTGGTGCTCTATTCTTTCCTTGGAGTATGTTAAATACAAACATCCATTTTAATTTATGTGATCATATGATTGTTAACTTCTATTTTATGAAACAATGACCTCATAACCACATCAGGTTGATTGTCTTAATCAATGTTGGAATTAGCTAAGTACATCTAGATCTTGTGAAGTAGAGTTTAGTATAAAAGGCTCTATGAGATCAGATCATAGTTACAGAACCACATATATATATATATATATATATCATGTTTTTTTGCAGCTTAATCAACATATACTACAACAATCTGACATTATCAAAAATAATTTCCAATTATTCATGAGCTCGTCCAACATTTCAACTAATTAACAGCATAACCAATAAATATAATTATTAAATAAAACTCATTGAAGCATTTAAACAAACACTTGCAAGACATTAAATAAAATCACAACATAAATATAATAATAGTAAATTAAAACTAACCTTTTATATTGAAAGATGAAAATTAATAAATTCATGAGTTAAAAGATTAGATTTTCAGATTGTATAAAGTTTTATGCCTAAAGCAAGAAGATCATAAATAAGTGAGAAAGATAGAGGTATTGTGTGTGTCTGATGAGGGTGAGAAAGAGAGAAAGAATACCTAATGAACTCTGATCGTAAAAGATGAAAACACAGCAAGTTTGTGGTGTAGATGGTAGATAAGGATTGAATGAAAGACAAAGAATGATAAAAACTTCTTCATATTTTGGCTCCCGTGATTTTGACCCGCCAAAATCAAATTTGGTTCACCAAGTTCAGGAAAATCAAACTTCCCCCTGTCTCTATCTTGATCGCCTCTACGGATTTTGCCTCACCAGATATGGTTTGTTTCCTTCAATTCGTTATTTCCTTGGTTGTATAATATATTTACAAAAAAAAGAGAGAAGCGTTTGGCTGAATAAGGATGCTTGATTGAGTTTGTTAATATTGTAAATAATAAAAAATAAAAAAATTTAACTTTGGCCCTTATTTTTTTTGTTAAATCAATTATAATCTGTAATTTTTAATTTTATATTAATTTGCTCTAATTAATAATACTGTTAGTGTTTTTAATGAAAAATAATCACTGAATTTGTTGAGATTAACTGAACAAGTTGAGTAAATTTATTATTTTACCTCTAAAAGAATGACATAGCTCACTTGTATGAGATTAAAAAATGCTAACAATTAGGGTTAATTACACTATTAGTCCCTCTATTTTGGTTATTATGTCATTTTAGTATTTGTAATTTCAATTAAATTGATTTTAACCTTGAATTTTAAATTTTGTCTGAAATTGATGAAATTGATAGATTTTTTTATGACAAATGCAACCTGTCATCGTTTTGGTAGTAAAACAAAATGCGGGTCAATTCAGTGACTTAAGCTTAACCAATCCATTGAAAATTTTCTATTAAAGACCCTAAAGATGTTATGAATTCGACTAAATTAATGTAAAATCTAAAATTAACTGTCAAAAGTGAGTCAATTAAAACTATATAGAAGAACAAAATGTATGAATTATTGATGTAATATACCCAACAATTATAAACAATTGAAAGAAATTGAGATAAATCCGTAAACTCGGGATGAAAATCGAGTTAATTGAAAATACATGGACTAAAATTCATGAAACTTTATCATTGTACAAGAGAGCAATTTCAAATTTTATTTTTCCTGAAGTCATATAAAGTCGTTGATCAATTTTGTACATGTGGCAAGTACAATTAAAAAAATATGTTATATTGAGTTTAATTCATTTATTTTTATTCTTTTTGAGCATTTTAAAAATTTTGAAAATAATTTAGCATTTTTGTTTTTGTCAAAAATGGCATTATAAGATTGGAAAGTTTTTGGCTTGGTGGCATTTCTCAAAATACTATAAAATATTTGTTTATAACACTTTTCACCTAATGCCATAAAAAGTAATTTGCATCTACCTAGTGTAGTGACATTTTTTTAAAAATGTCATTGCTACTAAAGTTTAGTGGCATATGTTAATAAATGTCACAAACATAATTTCTTGTGTCATTCTTTTATAAAATGCCATAAAATTGTTGTGACATTTTTTTATTGAAATGTCACCAGAGCCTTATATGTTTGTGGTTTTGTGGCATTTTTCTAGAACATGTCACCAAATTTTATTTTTGTGGCATTTTCTAAAAACATGCCACTAATGTAGCACCACTAAAGTGTGTTTTTGTTGTAGTGGCATTTTTGTTGTAGTTAAGTGGTACTTTTTTTTAATTGAAATGCCACTAGAGCCTTGTATATTTGTGGCTTTGTGACATTTTTGTAAAACATGTCACCAAATATTCTTTTTGTGACATTTTTTTTAAGAACATGCCACTAGAATAGTGTCACTAAAGTGTGTTTTTGTTGTAGTGACATTTTTGTTGTAGTTAAGTGGCACTTTTTTTAATTGAAATGCCACTAGAGCCTTCTATATTTGTGGCTTTGTGACATTTTTGTAAAATATGTCACCAAATATTCTTTTTGTGACATTTTTTTAAGAAAATGCCACTACAATAGTGTCACTAAAATGTGTTTTTGTTGTAGTGTCTTCACCAAAGATAAAAATATTGGCAACAAAAATCGTTTTGTCACTAAATGATATTAAAATATTAAAAATTATTGGTGACAAAAATATATTCGTCATTAATAATTTTATAATTGGTGACCAATTTTTTCGTCACCAAAAGTCTCAAAATTTTGGCACCCTCCGAAAATATTAGCGGGAAAATATTTGGTGACAAAAAAAATAAATAAATAATGACGAAAAATAATTTTGTCATCTAATTTTTTTATTATGATTTAGATTGGTGACGAAATTTTGTTTTTGTCTCCAAAAATGGTACATTTGGAGACGAAATATGATTTTCGTCATTAAAAGATACGTATTTTGTGACAAAAAAAAATTTCGTCATTAGTTTTCGTCTCTAAAGACTATTTTTGTTGTAGTGTCCATTGTTGCTCTGTGTTCAAAACTCTATGTTTCTCTATTGTCAGTTAATTTTATTACAAACATATTCTTCAAAGGTGGGTTTGGCTTGATTTGGATTGGTGGAATGGTGAAATTCCATAAATTGTTAATGATAGTGATAATGATGAAGATGAAGATATGAGTGATATATATATATATATATATATATATTTTTAATTAGAGTGATTGAGTTTTTTTTAGATTTCCAATTATATTGCTCCTATTGTTTTTATTTTTTTTGTCAATCAGTGTGAACGTTTACATTTCACATTGTTTGAAAGTCTGAAAAATAAGTGTTGGAATATAGATATGAACATAATTATATATTTTGCAAGATGTGAATGTTCACATATCATTAGTTATTTGTTACTATACTTGTTATTTGAACAATCATTTTTTGTTACTATTAAACAATTGAAATAGTCATTTTTTTTTTCAATTTTGTTTCATGTTGTAGTATGAATGTTCACATTGGTATGAATTTAATTTTTCTAAGGTTAGTTGTATGTTAATTGTAAATTGTGAGCATTCACATTTTATTTTGGTATGAGTTTTTTTTTTTTTTTTTTTAATTTTTTTTGAAAGTTGGGTGTATTTTGTTATTTTTTTTTTACTGTACTTGTTGGTTGAACAATCATTTTTGTTAACATTGAACAATCGAAATAGTCGATTTTTACTTTTTAAATTTTCTTTTATATTTTCACGTTGCAGTGTGAATGTTCACATTGGTATAAATTTATTTTTTTTTAAAACTAGTTGTATATTAATTGTAAATTGTGAACATTCACATTGTATTTTGGTATAAGTTTTGTTTTTTCGAAAGTTAATTGTATGTTTGTTTTTTTGTTACTATAATTGTTAGTTGAACAATCATTTTTGTTACCATTGAACAATTGAAATAGTCGATTTTCATTTTTTTCAATTTTGTTTTATATTTTCGCCTTGCAGTGTAAATGCTTATATTGGTATGAGTTTTTTTTTAAGGCTAGTTGCATGTTAACTAAAAGTGTGCAGTGGATGTGCTGACCCGTCACATTCCCCCTGACCCGACACATTTTAGGTGGATACGTGACACGTGGCGGGCGGGTGTGGGTCCATAAATTTCATTTTCGCGGGTTTGGGTTCGGGTCTGGTCGCGGGTAAACCGCCAATTTCACTTGCTCACCCGACCTGCCTACCCACATTTATTTCCCCTCATTTTTCCCTGTCTTGCCCCCCCTTTTTTTTCATTTCAAGTTTGTAGCCCTAGTTCTTCGACAACACTGTCTCTCTCTCTCTCTCTCTCTCTCTCTCTCTCTCTCTCACTTGAACGAAGGCGAGCAATGAGCGGTGATCGACAATAGTGGTGGCTAGCGACAATCGGCGATTAGTGACAATGGCTGTTAGGAGACCAATTATGTTAGGAAGTCTAATTATATTAGGAAATCTATGTTATTTTTCTTATATAAAGATGCTTATTGTAATGATTTTGAGGAGATTGAATAATATTAAGAGTTCAGGTGGCTAATCTCCAATTCAAAGGATTTTTGGTGGCTGATCCCCAATCAAAGGATCAAATTCAGGGTCTAGGACCCTATCATCTGGTGTCAGAGCATTCGATCTTTGAGCTCCCATCTCTTTCTACTCTGCCATTCATCATCATCAACATGACTATTAAGGAACTCGAAGAACAAGTTGCTACTCTTACTACTAGGATGGACATAATGTCTACTAATATGTAAGAGTTGGGAAGACCGTGCTGCTTAATGAAGCTACTCAGGAAGACCATACTGTTTTTTGTGCTCGTTATCCCGATTTTCCTGCTTGAAACTATTATTTTAAGGCGGTCGAATGTTAGGAAACCAATTATGTTAGAAAGTCTAATCAATTTAGGAGGTCTAATTATATTAGAAAATCTATGTTATTTTTCTTATATAAAGATGCTTATTGTAATGGTTTTGAGGAGATTGAATAATATTAAGAATTTAGGTGGCTAATCCCCAATTCAAAGGATTGTTGGTGGCTGATCCCCAATCAAAGGATCAAATTCAGGGTCTAGGACCCCATCGTCTGGTATCAGAGCATTCGATCTTTGAGCTTTCATCTCTTCCTACTTTACCATTCATCATCATCAACATGGCTGTTTAGGAACTTGAGGAACAAGTTGCTACTCTTACTACTAGGATGGGCGTGATGTCTACCAATATGCAAGAGTCGATACGTGATAGACAAACCAATAATACCATTCTTCAAAATATCCAAGCATTGTTGCAGGATAGGCAATGTGAAGCTTGCCTTCCCCAACCTGGCATCAATCTTAATCCACATATACAACGTGACGACGATGATCGGCGTGCTGGTCCAAATTTTCAGGGTCGAATTCTCCAAATTGATTTTCCAAAATTTAATGGTACTGATCCTAAAGGGTGGTTATTTCAAGTTGAACAATATCAAGAACTTAATGGTGTTTTAGACGCACAGATGGTTCCTTTGGCTACAATGCACCTTCAAGGCGATGCTATTTCTTGGTATCGCTAGATTAAACAGTCCCTTGGGGTTTTGACTTGGCAACAATTAGAGAGAGAGAGAGAGAGAATGAGAAAGAGAGGAGACAGAGAGATGGGAATATGAGGAGAGGATTGAAACACGAATGCAAGCTAGTTGCTGATCTTTGGTTGTCCAGGAATTATGATCTCATTTAACTCTGCTATTTGGATTGATTTATATTTTTTTTAACGTTTGTAGATTATTTATGAAAAGTAAATTAGGATTGATTCGTTAATTGTAGCCAAACAATTTCTATTAGATAAAATAATATGGTTACGATTATTAGATAAATTAAAAATTATTAGATAAATTAGGATTGATTCCTTAATTGTAGCCAAACAATTTTTATTAGACAAAATAATATGGTCACGAGTTTTAGATAAACCAA